GAAATGGAACAGTTTTTCTTCAAATTTACACATGGGAAGTGCAGTGACTAAAGCACTACACAGCTGTCTTTGAATGCCATGATCCGCTGTCTGGGTGTCAATTCTTTGACATGTTCAGCATAAGAAATACAAGTGCTCTGTAAAACAACACTTTCATTAATAATAAAACCGTAATTAGACACTTCCATTCTCTGTGTGGGTTCCTGGGCCAAGTTGTGTGGAAAACAAAAATAGACTCACTGTCTTCCCAACAAGCATGTCATAAGAGTCAACTAAGTAAGGGTGTCCTTTAAAGTCGGAGTGTATCTGCCTGAGAGGCAGGGAACCAACTAAAAGTGGTCAGTGGCAGGCACATATGCACACATACTAGGGATCATGACACAAGACTTACTGTAACTGACCAGTTACAGTGAAACCTTGTTAGGTGAACTGAATAGGATCAATAAATCAAGAAAATGTTGAAAAAAATGTGTGCTAAAAAGGGGCTAACTGATGTATTATGAACAATGTATCCCTAATGGGACCACAGTTCTGTTCACATAACTGCATGTTTGTCTTTAGCGAATTTATGTAAGCAGGGTTTTATTGTGTACTGTTTGCTGCTTTTCCTTTCTTACTTTTACAAATATCTGATGGTTCAATATCCTCGTCTTCTTCTTCTTTTTTTTTTTTGGCCTAATATAGTGTTGCAGCGAATGTAAATGAGTTATGACTTTTACAGCACAGCCACATGACTGTTGCCTTTCAGAAGAGATATTTGACATTTGTTGACCAGGTTAGCCTTCCCAGTAGAAGTCATGTCAACCTCAGAGACGTGCTAGTGTGGAAATGAATGCTCCCACAACTAAGAACTGAACTCATTTAACCATGTCTATAGTGGTAAATTGTTAATGTATATACATGGTGGAGAGTCCTTTGTTAACAGTGAACAATGGGAATGGTTGACAGAGGTCTAACAGCTAAGTGGTGAGCAAGTCCTTTTATTTTGAGATTCAACACACATGTCTATAAAAGGGATTAGTCATGGATTTCTGTATTTTGAGATTCAACACACATGTCTATGAAAGGGATTAGTCATGGATTTCTGTATTTTGAGATTCAACACACATGTCTATGAAAGGGATTAGTCATGGATTTTCTGTATTTTGAGATTCAACACACATGTCTATGAAAGGGATTAGTCATGGATTTCTGTATTTTGAGATTCAACACACATGTCTATAAAAGGGATTAGTCATGGATTTTCTGTATTTTGAGATTCAACACACGTCTATAAAAGGGATTAGTCATGGATTTTCTGTATTTTGAGATTCAACACACGTCTATAAAAAGGATTAGTCATGGATTTTCTGTATTTTGAGATTCAACACACGTCTATAAAAGGGATTAGTCATGGCATTCTGTCCATGATATTCAGATGTGTGGGGTAACAAACAGACTGATAGTCTGGCTGCTGTGGCTCCTCTGGGTTGTGAACTATTGTAATAAAAAGTGGATGAGGTGAAGGCTCACTGGAATTAAGTGGATAGTGCAACAAAACAGACTGGGTATCTATACACTGACTGACAGACTAATTCAACATTGTGGTGCATCAGGACCTCTTTAGGGTCTCCTAAAAATAAGTTTCCTGCTGGGGGTCTGGCTAACATAGACAGGATCACTGTTTCCTTCAAAGTCTGAGGGCATCTGCCTGAGAGGCAAGGACCACCCTTTCAAATCATAAGTGAAAGGCTTTCAAATCATAAGTAAAAGGCTTTCAAATCATAAGTAAAAGACTTTCAAATCATTAGTGAAAGACTTTCAAATCATAAGTGAAAGACTTTCAAATCATAAGTAAAAGACTTTAAAATCATAAGTAAAAGACTTTAAAATCATAATTAAAAGACTTTCAAATCATAAGTGAAAGACTTTCAAATCATAAGTAAAAGACTTTCAAATCATAAGTAAAAGACTTTCAAATCATAAGTAAAAGACTTTCAAATTATAAGTAAAAGACTTTCAAATCATAAGTAAAAGACTTTCAAATCATAAGTAAAAGACTTTAAGATCATAAGTAAAAGACTTTCAAATTATAGGTAAAAGACTTTCAAATTATAAGTAAAAGACTTTCAAATCATAAGTAAAAGACTTTCAAATCATAAGTAAAAGACTTTCAAATCATAAGTAAAAGACTTTCAAATCATAAGTAAAAGACTTTCAAATCATAAGTAAAAGACTTTCAAATCATAAGTGGAAGACAACTGACACTCACAGGATATACCACCAGAAGAGATTTTGGGGCAATATGCTGTTTATGAGCCAATTCTCCAGGATGGTCAGGTCAGGCAGGATGTCAACATATTTCTTCTTCTTGGTCCACAGTATTCTAAGAATTGTTCTGGTTTTGATTTCTGATTCAATCAAAATTGGTGGTCTCTGTGGCAAAGCCATTTGCCTCACACCCTGAAGGTGTGGGTTTATTTCACAGAAATGTTCTCAGGTTTCAATAAAAAATTTCTGGTGACAGTCACTAGTGCTGCGGAGTTCTTACTTTGTGCAGTAGGTTACTAGCCAATTTGCGGTCATAGACCAAGCAATAAGGGATCAATCTGGTTCACGCCGATCCTCTTGAATTAAGGTTTCATCAATATATCACATGACAGCTAGACCTAGAGAGTCACGGCAGCTGCAATGCAGTGATACATGACAGCTAGACCTAGAGAGTCACGGCAGCTGCAATGCAGTGGCTTACATGACAGATAGACCAGGAGAGTCACGGCAGCTGCAATGCAGTGGCTTACATGACAGATAGACCAGGAGAGTCACGGCAGCTGCAATGCAGTGGTATATGACAGATAGACCAGGAGAGTCATGGCAGCTGCAATGCAGTGATACATGACAGACAGACCAGGAGAGTCATGGCAGCTGCAATGCAGTGATACATGACAGACAGACCAGGAGAGTCATGGCAGCTGCAATGCAGTGATACATGACAGACAGACCAGGAGAGTCACGGCAGCTGCAATGCAGTGGTACATGACAGATAGACCAGGAGAGTCACGGCAGCTGCAATGCAGTGGTACATGACAGATAGACCAGGAGAGTCATGGCAGCTGCAATGCAGTGGTATATGACAGATAGACCAGGAGAGTCATGGCAGCTGCAATGCAGTGGTACATGACAGACAGACCAGGAGAGTCACGGCAGCTGCAATGCAGTGGTACATGACAGATAGACCAGGAGAGTCACGGCAGCTGCAATGCAGTGGTACATGACAGATAGACCAGGAGAGTCACGGCAGCTGCAATGCAGTGGTACATGACAGATAGACCAGGAGAGTCACGGCAGCTGCAATGCAGTGGTACATGACAGATAGACCAGGAGAGTCACGGCAGCTGCAATGCAGTGGTATATGACAGATAGACCAGGAGAGTCACGGCAGCTGCAATGCAGTGGTACATGACAGATAGACCAGGAGAGTCATGGCAGCTGCAATGCAGTGATACATGACAGACAGACCAGGAGAGTCACGGCAGCTGCAATGCAGTGATACATGACAGACAGACCAGGAGAGTCATGGCAGCTGCAATGCAGTGATACATGACAGACAGACCAGGAGAGTCACGGCAGCTGCAATGCAGTGGTACATGACAGATAGACCAGGAGAGTCACGGCAGCTGCAATGCAGTGGTACATGACAGATAGACCAGGAGAGTCACGACAGCTGCAATGCAGTGGTACATGACAGATGGACCAGGAGAGTCACAGCAGCTGCAATGCAGTGGTACATGACAGATGGACCAGGAGAGTCACGGCAGCTGCAATGCAGTGGTACATGACAGATGGATCAGGAGAGTCACGGCAGCTGCATTGCAGTGGTACATGATAGATAGACCAGGAGTGTCACGGCAGCTGCAATGCAGTGGTACATGACAGATAGACCAGGCGAGTCACGGCAGCTGCAATGCAGTGGTACATGACAGATAGACCAGGAGAGTCACGGCAGCTGCAATGCAGTGGTACATGACAGACAGACCAGGAGAGACAAGGCAGCTGCAATGCAGTGGCTTACATGCTTACTAGCGAGCTCAGTAGTCATAGGTTTGAATCGGCATAACGGTGGTTTCTTTAAGCTGACCTTGGCTTCCAGGTCAACCTTCAATAAAATGGATACCAGGAAATACCCTGGAAGGTAAAGGTGCAGGTGTAATGTTTGGCTGAAAACATCACCCATCAAGTGCCGAGTGTTCTATAAAAACATGGAGCTAGAACATAAATCCAGTCAACCCCAGCCATTTAAGGGCCCCCAACTTCTACTACTGGAAAGTGTATTACATTTTAAAGTTGAGATGATCCCTTCATTGCAGTGCTCAGTTTTCTCTCCAGCCTGTGCCAAGAATGTCACACAATGCACAAATTCCAGATCCCCAAAGATCTAAGTAAAAACTGCACCAGTGAACTGACTCATGCAGTCCACGAAACCAGCCCCAGACCTTCACAGTGCAAGGCAAATGGTATAACCACTTAATCTTGGAGATCCCTTTTTGGAAAATCATGATCCCCCTGAAAAAGAATTCTGCGGCAACATTTTATTTACATGGGGCATCTCAGATGAGATGTGAACATCAACAAACACCAATAATAACTTACATGGGACATCTCAGATGTGATGTGAACATCAACAAACACCAATAACAACCGACATGGGACATCTCAGATGTGATGTGAACATCAACAAACACCAATAACAACCGACATGGGACATCTCAGATGTGATGTGAACATCAACAAACACCAATAACAACCGACATGGGACATCTCAGATGTGATGTGAACATCAACAAACACCAATAACAACCGACATGGGACATCTCAGATGTGATGTGAACATCAACAAACACCTATAACAACCGACATGGGACATCTCAGATGTGATGTGAACATCAACAAACACCAATAACAACCGACATGGGACATCTCAGATGTGATGTGAACATCAACAAACACCAATAACTACTTACATGGACTGAAATTGTTGCTTGTACTCCACGTCTCCGTAGTGTTCCAGGACAAGATAATCTAGTTCTTGGACCATTCGATTCTCAACCTGACAACAGATGGTACCTCGGTATTACAGACAGACAGGACATTTATAGATATTTCGTAGTCTGTACTTTATTCAAATACTACCCTCACTATCACAATAAGAACATCAGAAAACCTTTTAGTAAGCAGATTTCTGAGTTTATCATATGTCTGCTGTGTCCTTGTCACATTTCTGTTCTGTTCTTGTCATATTTCTCTTTTGTCCTTGTCCCATTTCTGATCTGTCCTTGTCACATTTCTGTTCTGCCCTTGACACATTTCTGTTCTGTCCTTGACATATTTCTGTTCTGTCCTTGCCACATTTTTGTTCTGTCCTTGACACATTTCTGTTCTGTTCTTGACATATTTCTGTTCTGTCCTTGACACATTTCTGTTCTGTCCTTGACATATTTCTGTTCTGTCCTTGACATATTTCTGTTCTGTCCTTGACATATTTCTGTTCTGTCCTTGACACAGTTTTGTTCTGTCCTTGCCACATTTCTGTTCTCTCCTTGTCCCATTTCTGTTCTGTCCTTGTCCCATTTATGTTTTGTCCTTGCCATATTTCTCTTTTGTCCTAGCCATATTTCTGTTTGACAAGACTCTCATACATTTGGTGAACCTCTCATAACTGACTGCCAATATTTTCTTACAAAAACACAAAATATTTATCTTCTATCCTTATGCTAAATCCATTTTGTCCTTGTCATAATTATGTTTGTCATGAAGTTGCCTATTCTAGTGAAAGAGTATAATGGACACAGCAACCCTGTTCCTTATCTTAGTGCAACAAGTACACACACAAAATGCCACTCACCCTGCACACATGCTGGTTAATCTGGTACTCGCAGTGAACAATATCAAAAAAGATTGGGATCGTGGCTTTTCTCAGTTCTGGCTGCGGTACCATGGTCACTCTCAGAAATGGGCCAATAAGATCCAACATTAAGTGTTGCTTGTTCGAACCTGAATTAGAAAACAGGTTTTAAAACAATGACATCATCATCAACTTTCATTTTCCATTCAGCAACACTGGGAGAAAAGTTCTGCAGTCAAACGCTCAACAAGCAGCACTGGCTATTGTCATTCTGTGTGGCTTTAGTATGTTTTTAATGTCATCAATCCATATTCCCTTTGGCCACCTCTTTTCACATCAGGTCATTTTGTGCACAGCGCCTGTGTTAGTATTTGTTCTGGCTGCATTCTAACGAGATGACCAAACCATCTGATAACCTATTTCTTAATGAATTTCATGCACGGTGTTGTCCCCAGTCAGTCTAACAGTATCATTTCTCACTCTGCCTCAGATGGTTAACTAGCAATTTTCTCAGGCGTTTCATTTCAAAGGTGTTAAATTTATACAGGTTAGTTTAAACAACAACAAACAGTAATATATAACAACAATGGCAAGAGCATAAATAATGAAATAATATAATGATTTAAAAAAAAATATTTATGAAATAATTTAACAACACAATAAGTCTGGACAACCACCAGTGTCAACATTTGTACAACAAAAAAGGTGACGATTTACTGAGCATTTCCCAAGTGAAGCAAACAGAGAATCACCAGGCCTTGAAATCTCAAACAAATGGGTTGAGAAAGTGGAAATGTTAGGAACAAGCCATAAAACGAACAATGATGAGAGAGGTTAGAGGTGCCAGAGGTGTTCAGAATGATTGCACTCATGCTGTACAGCGTGTACAATGCCGGCTTTTGTAAATGACTGCCTGCATCAATACTCAGCTGAATTCTGGTGCTGGTCTGTTAGTGTTGGCACATCTAATGGCTGCCTTATGCATTTACTCTGCGGGTGCGAGCTACAAGATGTTGCTAGCACTTAAATGTTTTTCACTAGTTTTCAAAAGGGATAGCGAAGGGCATTTTATGCGATTTTTACCGACAAGGAAGCAGTTGTGGGGCAACGCATTTGCACTGAAGTTGGAGACTTGACTAATAACTAACGACTAACTAATCCTAACTAATGTATAACTGGAACTGTATACAAAACAGAATGGGAATGATGATGGCAAGAATAAATAATTACAACTGAAATGATATTACATTAACAAATCCTAAATTTATAACAGTTATTATAGAATGAAATAAACATAAATTATCTAACTCCAACAAATGATACATTTATACGAGAAGTCAATAAATAATTCACAAATGATTAAGGGATGGCAGGAAAATGTAGTTGGTGGTTTCTAAAGGTGTCACTAGGTGACAGCAACATCGAACTCTATGTCTCCATTCATTAGGTGGCGCTCGGTGTTGCATGCGCATTCACAACATAGAAACAAAATCGTGATTGTACTTACTGAGTATACTTTCAAAGAGCACCATGCTGTTGTGCAGGTTTTTTTTTTTTGGGGGGGGGGGGGGGGGGGTGGGGGGGGGGGGAATGGCTGCATGCAAAGGATATTCATAAGGAAATGCTTCTTGTTTATGCTGACAAATGTTTATCCATAAAGCAGTGAATGGCTGGGTTAAAAAAAAAAAAAAAATATCAAGGACAATCTACATTGTTGATGAAGTCTGATCTGGTCGTCTGGTTGTGATTGCAACAGATGCATCCATGCAGCAGGTGGGGGAGAGGATTAGAGGTGACAGGCGACTAACGGTTGACTCTGAAGCAGCTGCAATAGGGTGCTAACATCATTCAGCAAACTACATAATGCAATATCGATTAAAATTTAAGAAAGCCTGTTCAAGGTCCATACCCAGCCACAGAGCATGCAGCTCTATGCAGCAGGTTTGGGAGGACTGATAAAACGACAGGACAAGTGCATCAATGTTGGTGGAAATTATGTTGGAAAAAAAGGGACAGTGTGTGTGTAAAAGTAAATTGTTTTCAACTTATCCTCTTTAGTTAAACAATCATTTGTGATTTACCTCTCCTCGTAACAATAATTATAATGAAATTATACTAATTTTATCCTTGTTCAAATGTTACCTACCCAGCTGATTCCACAAAGAATACATGAGGAAGCCGACTGGTACTCTCATATCATCATATCTGTCAAAAAAACCAGCAAACCATTTTCATTTTGTGACATCAGATTGTTTCAGCAGTCAAGCTTCAGCTGGCCTTTATCCCACAAAGGGCATAGGGCCTTAACCAACCTGCACGAAGTCATCCAATTCATTTCTACCTTGAGTAGCTTGCGTTATGTTTCCTTTTTCTTATTCCCATCAAAAGCAAATCTTTTTTTGTAAATCTCCATTTTTGTCTCCCCACATTTTGGGAAAATACTGAACGGCAGTCATGTCTTGCAAATGATGCAAGCCTCAAGCTGCTAAAACCAGTTAAACAATTTCCGGTGCTTTATTAATATCCTACCCCAAACAGGGGAAATTAACAGGTCACAGGACAGTCTAATATTTCAGGAGGTGGTAGATAGCCTGCAAACATTTGTGAGACCTAGGCTGCATGGCCATGCAGTCGTGGGACCTAGGCTGCACTCTCTCGAGGGACATAGGTGAGTTGGGGTTAGGCCAGGTCTAGATGTTTTGGGGTCGTTAAAAGCATCAGAAAGCCAGTAAACCCAGTCTTACCACCCTCTAACATGTTGAACTGTCCTGTGAGGTCATCTAGCGTAGGATATTATTAAAGCACCCAATTTCTGTACTGATGAGTCTCTGCATGGTTGGTAACAACTGTTAATGAAAGGCATCCTCTAACTCACTTTCCTTCAAGAGCTCTTTTCAGTAAACCCTCATGCTTTCAACTTTAGTGGCATGCTGGATAAGTAAGCACACAAGGGTTTCACAGCCAGGCGGGACAAGGATAAGTCCATTCTTCCACACAAAAAGATGCTGAAGGCATCAATACTGGACTAGAAGACACAAAGGAAATCTTGGTTCCAGCAGCTCCAGAAAGGTGAACCTAGGCAACAAATGCCTAAAGAAGCAGGATGTGTTGGCCGAAAGGTGTAAACACTACAGCTTTGCTGTAAGCTGGAACGATGCAATTACATCCTTGGATGAACACAGAAGCAGAAGTATACTGCAACCATTGCTTTATTCTCTGGATTAGTACAAAGAAATGACTGCCATCAACAATCGCAGTGAAAGCTTACTTGTCTGCCAGCCCTATGGTCATGGGTTAACAAGTCACTGAGGCAGATTTTCTAAACTGGCATGCGCTTTCAGGTCAACCCAGCCTGAATTCATTTTCAAGAAATGTCCTGAAAATATTGGGAAAAGGGGGGGGGGGGGGGGGGGGATTTCCATGCTGCAGATTTGAACCCTGGACCTCCAAAGCGAGAGCCAAGCAACCAGCCACTGCGCTACTGCAGCTCCCCTGCCTTCCATTACTGTTCCTTATGAGCCACTGTAATATTTAACATGACCATAATATTTAAGTTTACAAGACATTATACAGTTTGAGTTTCTAGATTCAAAATGTAGGTACTTAATCCAGCAACTCACTTGCTTTTCACCTGACTGCTCTTGGCCTCAGAATACTTCTCAAGTTGTAAGGCAGACTGGCAGATGAAATCAACAGTCAGCAGGAAAAAGTGCTGCCACAGCTGTCAGTGAATACACACACATGTTCAGTTACACTCGCTTCATCACACAGTTTCACACATAGAACTGAACACAGGAAGCAGTCATTTTGAGACCAGCATGGTAAAATAAGGGAGCAGATGTGAAGTGGCTTAATGCTCGCCTGCATATCCAAAGTTGATAGGTTCAGGTCCTTTCTCAGAAATGACCTTAGCTTTTAGGTCAACCCAGCCTTAAATGAGTACCAAGCAAAGTTCTAGGAAGTAAAGGTGGCTGGTGTGATAATGACGATATCACACAGAGTGCCCACTGTCTATAAAACATAGGTCTAGTCCTACATGCCTGAAGGTGCGGCAAATGGTTCCCCTGGTGATATAAGTTCAAATCCCCACTGAAGCAAATTTTAAAAACTAACCTGGCTTCTTCGGTCAACCTAGATTAAACTGGGTATCAACAAATATCATGGAAAGTAATTATGGTAGCACAGTCCACTTTAAAAAAAAAGACAATATACGCGTTAATAAAAGTTATATATATATATATATATATTTATATATATATATATATATATATATATATATATATATATATATATATATATATATATATATATATATATATATATATATATATATATATTTATATATATATATATATATATATATATATATATATATATATATATATATATATATATATATATATATATATATATATATATATATATATATTTTTTTTTTTTTTTTTTTATTTTTTTTTTAAGATTATAGTACACATTGCTGACAACATAAGAGCAGAAATAATGAAACACTGGTAAAAAAAAACCAGCTGTATATTTCTGTAGGTATGCTTGCTCTGACATCAGAAATGTCTTCCCATCCCTGGCCACTGACTTGTCTTTTCTGGCAAATCATTGCAGCAGAAGTTCTGACTATGTTACACTACTGTGTCGTCACTGTGAAAGAATGCACGGTAGAAGCACATGCATATTTCACACGTACGCAAGCATAGACATATGCACAGATATATACACTCACTTCTAGTTTATTTGCAGGTTTTATGTACATGGTTAAAACTTTTGCTTGTATGTGTGTCCCCCTTTTTTTTTCATTTTTACATTTTGTGTCCATTTGTTCTTATCTTCTAAACTTGAGTGTTGTAAAACGGATGTGAGGTTCACATGCTCTGGTACTTAGTCATGACTATTTCTCCTTCAATGTTTATAATAACAGCATCATTCACAGCTGTTACTGGTCTATATCTTATAACACAGATTACAGCGATTAGGCTAACCTGATTCTACAATTTGTAACAAACGGGTGAAATAAACTATTAAATTAGGTTGATAAATAACTGAATGATGACAGATTCAATATTTTCCCTAAATAGTTAGGTAAATAAACAGTTATCATGCCCCCCCCCCCCCCACACACACACACACAATTAATTAAAATTACGTTTAGATCAAATTTTGCAACAGGACATGCATTATTGTGTGCAAAAATGAATGAACTTTTCTATGTGGTGTAAACAAAAAAGCAAAATTCCACAATTAAAACACACACAAAAAACCAGGTTGGAGGGTTTAACCTGTCCTTAACTCTTTGAGTCCCAAGGAACGCATCATACGTCCATAGGTTCCTACCTAGAAGCCCAAAGAACTCATGATGCGCCAATTTTATTATTCTTTACTACCCCCTGGGCCTGTGATGCTAAACCCCCTGGGCCTGTGATGCTAAACCCCCTGGGACTCAAAGAGTTAAAGTAAACAATTTTAGCCTGTCATTTGATGTTGATTACTGATCAAGGCAAGCAGCCATCAAAAGTGATGGAGACCACTCAACAAACACTGAGATTTTATGATTATCAGAATGAAGGTGACCTAATGTGGCTCATGCAAGCTGGGAAAGTTTGTGGGCACAGACATGTTAGAGGAGGGAATTGCTGTACTGAGCTTTCAGCATGACTCTTCTTCTTCTTCTCTTCCACCATTGACCAATGCATTGAACAAGTTGGTGTTCATTTCTGTTAAGGTGCTACTGATGTTGTCTCTCCATCTCTTGCGTGGTCTTTCCCTTGCTCTGTGTTTATTATATTTTTTCAACTGATCCATAAGGAGTGTGATCTCCGCTGTCCTTCTAGTCACCCCACCACTATATATATATATATATATATATATATATATATATATATATATATATATATATATATATATATATATATATATATATATATATATATATATATATATATGTATATGTATATATATATAATGTATATACACACACATATATATATATACACGCGCATAAACTTAGATAAGATACAATTCTTCTTCTTCTGTGTTCACCACTAAATGGGTGGTTGACACTTTGTGTTTTGAGTACAATATTTGTGCCTTTTGATCCGTCAAATTCCATGTTGGTAAACCCCTAATTAGTCACCTTATACAACACTCTTGCTGAAGGGCCAGGAGGTTTTACCTTCCACAACAGGGCTCAGAACTCACGCAGGAAAGACATACAATTCTCATTACTGTTCATTTTCTACTAGGCAGAAAACACATCTTCTCATTTCATTGATTTTCCCTTTTTTAAAAATAAAACATAAAAAGTATTGTATATGTCCACTTGTCGGCTCAGTGGCTAAGTAGATGTGAACGCTTCGTAATGCCGGGTTCGATCCCAGCTGCGGGCCATGTGCCTTGCATTGGTTTCAACAGTGGTATCAAGAAAGCCGACCATCCAGAAAGCAATGGCAAACTACTGGACGTAAATTTGCCTAGAAAAACCACACAACAGCCAGGGACTGTTGGGGTTGGTTCTGCAATGTCCTTTAAAGGATACGCAACTAACCTTATATGTCCACTTACCTCTCTGTCAAAGTCAGCTCCCTGCAGAAAGTTGATTGTTAGATTGTCCGCAATATAATGAATTGCTGTCAATATCACACTGTCAAAGTATAGATAAATGAATGTTATGGTTGGCGGTACAATCATGAAAAAGATATGGAAGATATATTAAGAATTCTATGACAAGTTTCAATCAGCAGCCATATCCATGGTGAAATTTGGCTGTAATTAATCTCCAAAATGATATCTCTCATTCTGGTTGTACACTCTCTCAGACAGTTGTTCATCTATCTCTTCATGTTATACTCCTACTTGTATTGCTGTCTGCCTCTTGCTCTTTAGGTGAAATATTTCACAACACAGAGTTAACTGAGATATAGTGGTGAAGATTCTTAGGGAGAAGCAAGATCGGTGAATGGTCAGTGTTACAAGAACATGATCCTTCTGGACTGACAGTTGTGCAGTTGACTGTTCCTTGCCACTCGGGCAGATGCCCTCCGACTTAAAAGGAAGTCCCCAGTTAGTATACTCTTACGACATGCTTGCTGAAGAGGAGGTGGATCTATTCTTTTGTAATTAACTCAGCGACCCGTAAAGTCTGGCTTCCGTCTGTGTTTCTCTTGACCAGAAGTTTTGCTTTGATATGTTGTACATGGGACAGTCTTGGAGGACATGATCTGTTGTCTCAGGCACCAATCCACATGTGCACATGGCTGATTTGCCAGGTTTAACTTTTGTGTACATGTGGCTGCAAAATTGACTGGGCCCTATTTTAAGGCATAGAAAAATAACTTGAGATGCCTAGGGATGGCTGCTGCATAAGATGACTAATTGAATGTGTGGTAATGTCAGTTGTAGCAAAATAACATAACAAAACCAAATATGTCTAATACTAACTTGTTTGTGAGCATCCTCATGGTGATCCAGTCAGGCGGAAGGTAATCAGACCTCAGCAGTGTGCAGAAAACAATGAGAACATGGTCCAGAAATTCCTGAAAACACATTTTGAAAATAAATAAATCACCATCATCTTTCTCATCTTCATTAGGGTGGCACAGATCAGTTGTCAGGCCAATTGTCTGCAACAACTTTTATACAATGCCACACATATATATACACACATACATGGTTTGTTCACAGTTTCAACTTTGCGACAAATGGGGCCATCCCAAAATTGATCTGTTCCTGTGGCAGCGAAAACCACACAGAATGCCTACCACTGTATCTTGTAGAAAAATTGAAACAGACTGAAATGCTGGGATAACCAATAGCAGATCTCTCTCTCTCTCTCTCTCTCTCTGTCTGTGTGTGTGGTGCATGTGGGTGCATGTGTGCGTGCGTGCATGTGTGTGCATGTGTACATGTGTGTGTGCATCTCTCTCTCTCTGTGTGGTGCATGTGGGTGCATGTGTGCGTGCATGCATGTATGTGCATGTGTACGTGTGTGTGTGTGTGTGCATCTCTCTCTCTCTTGTGTGTGGTGCATGTGGATGAATGTTTGCGTGCGTGCATGTGTGTGCATGTGTACATGTGTGTGTGTGTGTGTGTGTGCATCTCTCTCTCTCTCTCTGTGTGGTGCATGTGGGTGCATGTGTGCGTGCGTGCGTGCATGTGTACGTATGTGTGTGTGTGTGTGTGCATCTCTCTCTCTCTCTGTGGTGCATGTGGGTGCATGTGTGCGTGTGTGCATGTGTACATGTGTGTGTGTGCATCTCTCTCTCTCTCTGTGTGGTGCTTGTATGCATGCGTGCATGTGTACATGTGTGTGTGTGCATCTCTCTCTCTCTCTGTGTGGTGCATGTGGGTGCATGTGTACGTGCGTGCATGTGTACATGTGTGTGTTTGTGTGTGCATCTCTCTCTCTCTCTCTCTCTCTCTCTCTTTCTCTCTCTCTCTCTCTCTCTCTCTCGAGAGAGAGAGAGAGAGAGAGAGCTACTTATCACCCTAATGGCAATGGTTTGTTGGCAGCTCCCTGAGAGAGGTGTCTATCTCAAACACAACTAACCCAACACCATCACAGCATACACATCAGCCTTTATTATGATTACAACAGGCTCTGGGCAGTTCATTCCAGAGACAGTCCGTGTTATTGACCCCGCCACACACCCGCTGTGTGCTTTACAATCGCCACACATCAACTGGCTGACCTTACAGTTGCTAATTGGACCTGAACTAACAGTCTCTGATACAAGCTCTTTCCCGAGCGATCGCAACCTACACCTCAAATGCAGTGGCTTTGCATGGCTTTGGATAGCGTTGATGGACAGACCATGTCACCATCTGAGTTGCCTTATTACAGTGCCCACGATATCATGATTTTCTTCTTAAACTGACAAAGCCCCTTTTCAAACCACCTCACTAATATATAGATTACTAATCGGCTGAACAGTAGTACTTCAACCAATTAACACTAATCACACTGAACTATCTCTTCAGAATGCTAAGTTAAACTACCAGTTCCTAATCACATATAAATTATACAACCGTCACACTAGCACTTAACATTTCCAAAACCATCATTATGTGTCTGAACACAATCAACTACAAAAACTCTCCCGGTCAAAAATATATCTTCGTCACAGTCCAGTTCTTTCAGCCAACTTTCAAACAACCTTCCGTCTGTACGTTTTGTTCGGTCAACCGTTCACCTTACAGTCAGTCTACTCCCTCATGAATCCCTAAGACTTTACTCTCCATCATAATGTCCTTGTCAGAAACTCATGTAGGCTGTTGAAGGCGTAGTTGCTAACGGTCATCTAAGTGCTAGTCTATCATTCACTATCATCACCTACAGTCGTCCCATAGCCACAAAGGACCTTGAGAGAGAGACAGACACACGCACACATACACACAGGGTGCGGTCTCCACAATGGAGGTTAGCCACAGTAGATATGTGCAAGGAACAGGGAGTCCAGATGAAGACAGTTACAGCAGGCACATGTTTTACCTTCAGAGGTTTGGGTTTTGCATAGCCAGACATGAGCTTCTGGTAGTGCTGGGCATCCATGAGGCGAAGCATCTCTGTCAGACAGGCCACCAGCAGATTCTGCGAGATTAGAAACAATATAAGTTGACCTCTACCAACACTGACACTCACCGCAACAGTAAGTGTCCCACAATTTTGTCACCCATTAATGAATCAGGAAGGAAATAAGGAGACAGGAGACATCTAATGCAGACAGGTTAAGAGCTGAAGGACTGAGAAGTACACTGAATACAAGCAACAACAGTGGTCCTGAAATGCTCCACTTGTGACAGATGTCACTTAAACCTCAAGGGCTGTGATTCCCATGTCGCTCTATAGCCCAGTGGTTCTCAACCTTCCTAATGCCCTGACCCTTTAATACAGTTCATCCTCCTGTGACCCCCAACCATAAAAAAATTTTCATTGTTACTTCATAACTTCAGTGGATATGTGTTTTCCTATGGTTTTAGGTGATCCCTGTGAAAGGATCGTTGGACCCCCAAAAGGGCCGCAACCCACCGGCTGAGAACCGCTGCCATAGCCCAATATAACACAATCATTTGGAAAGAAGGACAGGTTCAGCAACAATAAAACAATGAAATCCCATCTCCATAAAGATGGCTGGCTGTAAAAGGTCAACACTGTCTGTCTGCTGCTCTGATTATACACAGTGACAATCCATCTCTTGATGTTATTCTCCCCAATTGTTTTGTCTCTGACCTAAAAGGGGTGCCAGAAAATGTCCCAGAAAGTAAAGGTGGCTGGCATGATGATGAGCACATGACCCTACAAATGTGACTCTAGCATCACATGGCAGATGCCTCACTGGCCTCTAGAGGGCCTTTCACTTTAACTATTGTCATCGACAGGACAGGATACAGATCTGGACTGTCAGGAAATGGAATACATTTCTTGAGGCTACAAGATATACCCAATTGTCCTGCACTGGACTCATCAGTTCTATGTTCATTTATATGTGTAACATTGTGAAACACTGCTCACCTGTGAGGGTCTGTAAAGGTGTAGAAAGAAGAAGATTAAGAGAAATTCAGCACTTGCTGTTCCCAATGGGACAGCTATTTGTGACATGAGTAATGTGTTATCTTTCTTCTTCTTCTTCTGTTTTTCCCCTCCAATTACCTCATGGATGGGTTCAGTGAAGATAGAGGGATCTTCTGTGTGCTCTTTCTAATGTTTGCATTATGTTGATCTACATTTTCTTTTTCAAAGACTATATTTTATTCCGTTGTGCCAAATTTTGTGTTGTCTTTCCTGTGCTCTTCATGTTGCTCCAGCAACTCTTCTAATACAACTCATCTGTTAAAATTGTGTGCTTATAAGTTATAGTAAGCGTCCAAATAATGAACCCAAAATAATAAAATCAGAAATGAGACATCTTAGAATCTCTCTCTCTCTCTCTCTCTCTCTCTATGTGTGTGTGTGCATACGTGCGCATGTGTGTGCAAAAGAAACAAATTAATCATCTACTTTATGGAAATACAGTGATTGAAAGTACGGATAACTGAAGATTAGGAAACTAAGAGCTTTCAGATTACAGTTCAGGAACTCTTGGACATCATCATCATGTAGTAGGTCCTTTGCAGAATGTTGATCTCATTACATTCTGCCTGAAAGAAACTCGCTCATGCCAGCTTTCCAGCCTCGTGCACTTCCATACTCAAAAAGTCATTTATATCCTGTGCTCCTTTTCATACTGGTCGGTCCCTGCCTCTCCTTCCTAACACCAAGCCTTCTGTATTATTTTTTTCCAATTCGCCGTGGCTGTTGATATGGCCAAAATATTTTAGCTTCTGAGACAAGATTCTGTTTATTAGGCAATGTTCCTTGATGTTCATATCTTTCAGGATGTCTGTATTCCTTTTCTTCTTTGTCCATCGCATTCTGAGAATCTTTCTATAGCATTTCAGCTTAAAGGCTCGCATTGTGTACCTCAAGCTCTTGGACTGAAACAACAAAATGAATATCTCTACTGTGATATAAGCAATCATCTCTCTTTCTCTCTCTCTCAAATACTACTGTGGTGCAAAGAAAATTTATTAAGAGAAAATGGGTTTCTGAGCAGTGCACACTCACCCCACACAGCCTCTTCTTGCTGCCACTCAGTGCTCCAGTCTTAACTATCAACTTACCCCACACAGCCTCCTCTTGCTGCCACTCAGTGTCTCCAGAGACTTGACTATCAACTCACCCCACACAGCCTCTTCTTGCTGCCACTCAGTGTCTCCAGTCTTAACTATCAACTCACCCCACACAGCCTCCTCTTGCTGCCACTCAGTGTCTCCAGAGACTTAACTATCAACTCACCCCACACAGCCTCTTCTTGTTGCCACTCAGTGTCTCCAGAGACTTAACTATCAACTCACCCCACACAGCCTCTTCTTGTTGCCACTCAGTGTCTCCAGAGACTTAACTATCAACTCACCCCACACAGCCTCTTCTTGCTGCCACTCAGTGTCTCCAGAGACTTGACTATCAACTCACCCCACACAGCCTCTTCTTGCTGCCACTCAGTGTCTCCAGAGACTGGACTATCAACTCACCCCACACAGCCTCTTCTTGCTGCCACTCAGTGTCTCCAGAGACTTAACTATCGACTCACCCCACACAACCTCCTCTTGCTGCCACTCAGTGTCTCCAGACTTAATTATCAACTCACCCCACACAGCCTCCTCTTGCTGCCACTCAGTGCTCCAGTCTTAACTATCAACTCACCCACACAGCCTCTTCTTGTTGCCACTCAGTGTCTCCAGACTTAACTATCAACTCACCCCACACAGCCTCTTCTTGTTGCCACTCAGTGTCTCCAGACTTAACTATCAACTCACCCCACACAGCCTCCTCTTGTTGCCACTCGGTGTCTCCAGACTTAACTATCAACTCACCCCACACAGCCTCTTCTTGTTGCCACTCAGTGCTCCAGACTTAACTATCAACTCACCCCACACAGCCTCTTCTTGTTGCCACTCAGTGTCTCCAGAGACTTGACTTTCAACTCACCCCACACAGCCTCCTCTTGTTACCACTCAGTGTCTCCAGTCTTAACTATCAACTCACCCACACAGCCTCTTCTTGTTGCCACTCAGTGCTCCAGACTTAACTATCAACTCACCAAACACAGCCTCCTCTTGCTGCCACTCAGTGTCTAAAGAGACTTGACTATCAACTCATCCCACACAGCCTCCTCTTGCTGCCACTCATTGTCTCCAGTCTTAACTATCAACTCACCCCACACAGCCTCTTCTTGCTGCCACTCAGTGTCTCCAGTCTTAACTATCAATTCACCCCACACAGCCTCTTCTTGTTGCCACTCAGTGTCTCCAGAGATTTGACTATCAACTCACCCCACACAGCCTCTTCTTGTTGCCACTCAGTGTCTCCAGAGACTTGACTTTCAACTCACCCCACACAGCCTCCTCTTGTTACCACTCAGTGTCTCCAGTCTTAACTATCAACTCACCCACACAGCCTCTTCTTGTTGCCAATCAGTGTCTCCAGAGACTTAACTATCAACTCACCCCACACAGCCTCTTCTTGTTGCCACTCAGTGTCTCCAGAGATTTGACTATCAACTCACCCCACACAGCCTCTTCTTGTTGCCACTCAGTGTCTCCAGAGACTTGACTTTCAACTCACCCCACACAGCCTCCTCTTGTTACCACTCAGTGTCTCCAGTCTTAACTATCAACTCACCCACACAGCCTCTTCTTGTTGCCACTCAGTGTCTCCAGAGACTTAACTATCAACTCACCCAACACAGCCTCTTCTTGCTGCCACTCAGTGTCTCCAGTCTTAACTATCAACTCACCCCACACAGTCTCCTCTTGCTGCCTCAGTGTCTCCATACTTAACTATCAATTCACCCCACACAACCTCCTCTTGCTGCCTCAGTGTCTCCAGACTTGACTATCAACTCACCCCACACAGCCTCTTCTTGCTGCCTCAGTGTCTCCAGACTTAACTATCAACTCACCCCACACAGCCTCCTCTTGCTGCCACTCAGTGTCTCCAGTCTTAACTATCAACTCACCCCACACAGCCTCTTCTTGTTGCCACTCAGTGTCTCCAGAGACTTAACTATCAACTCACCACACACAACCTCCTCTTGCTGCCACTCAGTGTCTCCAGTCTTAACTATCAATTCACCCCACACAGCCTCTTCTTGTTGCCACTCAGTGTCTCCAGAGATTTGACTATCAACTCACCCCACACAGCCTCTTCTTGCTGCCTCAGTGTCTCCAGACTTAACTATCAACTCACCCCACACAGCCTCTTCTTGTTGCCACTCAGTGTCTCCAGAGACTTAACTATCAACTCACCCACACACAACCTCCTCTTGCTGCCACTCAGTGTCTCCAGAGACTTAACTATCAACTCACCCCACACAGCCTCTTCTTGCTGCCACTCAGTGCTCCAGTCTTAACTATCAACTCACCCACACACAGCCTCCTCTTGCTGCCACTCAGTGTCTCCAGTCTTAACTATCAACACACCCACACACAGCCTCTTCTTGCTGCCACTCAGTGTCTCCAGTCTTAACTATCAACTCACCCACACACAACCTCCTCTTGCTGCCACTCAGTGTCTCCAGTCTTAACTATCAACTCACCCACACACAACCTCCTCTTGCTGCCACTCAGTGCTCCAGACTTAACTATGAATTCACCCCACACAGCCTCCTCTTGCTGCCACTCAGTGTCTCCAGTCTTAACTATCAACTCACCCCACACAGCCTCTTCTTGTTGCCACTCAGTGTCTCCAGTCTTAACTATCAACTCACCCCACACAACCTCCTCTTGCTGCCACTCATTGTCTCCAGTCTTAACTATCAACTCACCCCACACAGCCTCCTCTTGCTACCACTCAGTGTCTCCAGAGTCTTGACTATCACATCAAACAAGCCCTGGACGATCTTGGTCACTTCCTCCTTGACATCACAGGTCTGGGCAAGAGGAAGACAGCAATAGCTAGCAAATCATGTCAGACTATGAGACCACACATAGTTAACAAATCAACAGTTCAGTTTAAAACAATTAACAGTGAAAGGAGCAACTTAATTGCTATGCATGTTTCCCATTGCTCTGTCGCTCTCCACAGAATGGCTAGCCAAGAACAACACACAAAACAAGAACTCTGTAGCTCTGGTGGGACTCTGTAAATATTGCATTCCTGAATCAAACTAGACTGCAAGCGATTCTTTAAAGTTGTTTGTGAATCCTTTAGAAGACTGTCAATTTTAACTCATTTTTTTGATGCACTTGCATTCAGGTCCTCTGAGCTTAGAAAATACTTGCCAGGAGACAAACCATGCAGATATTCAGAGTACTGTAAAGACGGGGTACAAATCCATGCAGCAATGTCACTTAAAGTCAAAACTAGCAAAGGACCCATATAACACTGGAACCCACACTGGGAGCATTCAGCAAATGATGCTGGACCCATGTTTTTATCAAACAATCAGCGCTCAGTGGGTGATGTTATGTGTTATCACATTTGTAATGAATCATTTTCATAAACTAGGCCTGGCTAATCCACGACATAACAGAATGGAAGAATGCAAGGGAGCTGCTAGTGGCTACTTTTCTGATACTGTCTGTGACATCTGCGACGTGTTAGAGTGGGATGAAGTGACAGTGCGCATTATTATAATTGTCGAAAGTACTAAGATGCTTGTGAATATTACTAGGACCATAGACATCTATTCATCTGACACTGTCTTGAGTTAGAGCACATCGTTGCCAAATAAACTGAAGTGTTATCAGCTGTTTGGTGTTTTCTCAACTTTTGTTCCATTTGCTGTGTTACAGTCTCAAAAACGTGTCAGAGTAGACTGCATATGATAAGAGCCAAGGAGAGCCACTGCAACATTCAATGTCACTGACCACGGAGCATTGCCAACATATTTACATCAACTTGAAGAGCATTGTGGCCAACCTCTACGTCCTTGGAGGTAACGTAAAGTACAACTGTGACACCAGCAAGTAAGGGTACATACCTTTTCAGTTTGTATACTGTACTCAGGAAGTCACCTAAAGTACAACTGTGACACCTGCAAGTAAGGGTACATACCTTTTCAGTCTGTATACTGTATTCAGGAATTCACCTAAAGTACAACTGTGACACCAGCAAATAAGGGTACATACCTTTTCAGTTTGTATACTGTACTCAGGAAGTCACCTAAAGTACAACTGTGACACCTGCAAGTAAGGGTACATACCTTTTCAGTCTGTATACTGTATTCAGGAATTCACCTAAAGTACAACTGTGACACCAGCAAATAAGGGTACATACCTTTTCAGTTTGTATACTGTATTCAGGAAGTCACCTAAAGTACAACTGTGACACCTGCAAGTAAGGGTACATACCTTTTCAGTCTGTATACTGTATTCAGGAAGTCACCTAAAGTACAACTGTGACACCAGCAAATAAGGGTACATACCTTTTCAGTTTGTATACTGTACTCAGGAAGTCACCTAAAGTACAACTGTGACACCTGCAAGTAAGGGTACATACCTTTTCAGTCTGTATACTGTATTCAGGAATTCACCTAAAGTACAACTGTGACACCAGCAAATAAGGGTACATACCTTTTCAGTTTGTATACTGTACTCAGGAAGTCACCTAAAGTACAACTGTGACACCTGCAAGTAAGGGTACATACCTTTTCAGTCTGTATACTGTATTCAGGAATTCACCTAAAGTACAACTGTGACACCAGCAAATAAGGGTACATACCTTTTCAGTCTGTATACTGTATTCAGGAATTCACCTAAAGTACAACTGTGACACCTGCAAGTAAGGGTACATACCTTTTCAGTTTGTATACTGTATTCAGGAAGTCATCTAAAGTACAGCTGTGACACCAGCAAGTAAGGGTACATACCTTTTCAGTTTGTATACTGTATTCAGGAAGTCATCTAAAGTACAGCTGTGACACCAGCAAGTAAGGGTACATACCTTTTCAGTTTGTATACTGTATTCAGGAAGTCACCTAAAGTACAAATGTGAAACCAGCAAGTAAGGGTACATACCTTTTCAGTTTGTATACTGTATTCAGGAAGTCACCTAAAGTACAACTGTGACACCAGCAAGTAAGGGTACATACCTTTTCAGTTTGTATACTGTACTCAGGAAGTCACCTAAAGTACAACTGTGAAACCAGCAAGTAAGTGTACATACCTTTTCAGTTTGTATACTGTACTCAGGAAGTCACCTAAAGTACAACTGTGAAACCAGCAAGCAAGGGTACATACCTTTTCAGTTTGTATACTGTACTCAGGAAGTCACCTAAAAAGTACAACAGTGATACCAGCGTTAGGGTACATACTTTTTCAGTTTGTATACTGTACTCAAGAAGTCACCTAAAGTACGAATGTGATACCCGCAAGCTAGGGCACATACCTCTGTCAGTTTGTACACTGTACTCAGCAGGTCACCTAAAGTGCTGGCAGTCAGCTCCAGGTTGTACTGCATGATCAGGCACTTCTTCAGATGGCCCAAGATCAGGGGCAGCAACAGACTTCTTGATGCTGGGGAGGTACACAGAGATATCAAGACTACATAACATTTCCAAATGATGAATTGTTTTATATTTATTCATGTATTTAATCCATTGTTCATTCATCCTGGTTAGATGGTTAATGGTGTCACTGCAGTTATGCAGTTATGAGGACTGTGGCTGTAGAACTCTCTCTCTCTCTCTGTTGTCCAATGGTCAGTGTAATCAATCTTTCATTCAATGCTCTTATTGTTTGTCTTATCTTAGGTGGTATGTTGTACATAGGCAAGAATATAAATATTTAAATAAAACAACAAATGAAAAGAGAAGAAGAAAAAGAGAGTCAGAAATGGGGGAAGGAGAGGGGTGTTGGAAAATAATAATGACACTGATATTTAAGGAGATGAAGCATGAGGAATATAGTAAAATAAGGGGGTAGAGAAAGAATAGTAGTAGGAGGTAACAGAGGATGAACTGTTCAGGTGATCCAAAAGGAAACATTGAAAGAGACAAGAGTGGTAAGAGGTTGTGAAGGAAGAGAGAAACACATAAGAATAAGCAGTTGAAGAAAAGACAGCATAATAAGAACAAGATGAAGAGAAAGAACATAAAGAGAATCAGAAAGTCAGAGTCAGACACTAAGAAAAAATTACCAAAAGTAGGAAGATGAAAAGCAGAATCAAGAACATTAGAAGAAGGAAGACTTGGAAGGAAAGAAACAGTAAAAGAAACACAAAGACGAGGAAGACAGTAGGATAGAAAAGAAATGTTCATCACAATGCAACCAACTACCTACAAGAATCTAAAAGCAACTGTGAGTTGACGGTGTTTTTGATAAAAACCGTCTTGGCCTTGATGACAGGCCAGCCTGGCTTGGTGTTGATTCTCTGCAGGATGTAGACAACTAGCTGGCCCAGCTCACTGTTGGAGATCACAAAGTACAGAGGGATGTACACCTTGTGCAGGTTCTTCAGTAGCTGTCTCTGCAATGGAAAAGAAGAAACCTAAAAGTAATTGAAGAACAAGACAGCATATCAAATACGTGACAGCAGAAGAGCAGTTAGCAAGAGATCAATCAATGCTTAACCCTTTTGCCCCGAGAAGTTGAAAAACCGACGCTTCCTGCTGGGCCCAGTTCTCCAAAAGCCACTTTTTCAACTAGCTTATCATGGCATGTTTGCCAGATTATTGCAACTCGCTGAGTTTGTGCTTGCTCCAACTTTTAGGATGTTGGGATATGAACAAATTAACTAACATTTAAAGGGGTCTACCTTTGCACTAAAGGGCTTTATAAAGCAAAAATGATGTAAGATTTTCTCATAAGCTTCAACTGTAGAGGTAAATGGGGTCACTGCAAGAGTCACCTGATTCATCTGTGTTTTTTATCCACCAGTTGATATATTCAATTTAATTCTTCACCCTGTTAGGTTAAATGATTACTCCTTTTATATATCTTTATATATTTTTAAAAAATAATTGTAAAATGCTGATAAATAAGTTGTAAACAAATTTATTAGTGACCTGTGTGAAAATTAATTGTTTCTGCTTATTTTTTTTTTAGGAATCCTAACAAAGTCATGAGTTCTTGGGGTAGTGTAATATTGTAGTTTCAGAAAAAAGAAAAAAAAAGTAAAGAGTAAAATAGCCAGATGCGCAGATCAAAGGAGTCGAGTCAGAGAGGAGCTATATACAAGCAAACCAAAGCAGTTAAACTGCAATATAAGTATACCACAGGAATGAACAAACAAATTAACTTTAGGGGTCAAAACCTGGGCACGCAGGCACATCTTACATTTTGCCCTTCCAAACACACATATTTATGTATAAAGCATGTTACGTTCATATAACAATACACACAGTATGAATATCAAGTAAAATACATATATGACAAAGGCATGCATGTTAAGCCAAGTGAAGCTAAACAAAAGCCTTATACAAGGAGTCAAAGTAGTTAAACCAGTGAAGCCAAACATAAGCAATATATAAGAAATCAAAAGTATTTAAGAAAGAGGCATGGACTGGAGACCACCTTATATGAAAGACTGTTTTAGAGGATTCACAACCAAGTGTTGAGTAGTTGGTCAGATTAATGGTAACACCAAATGTACACACAGATTACAACCCTTAGTAACCCCTGAGTAAAAAAACAGCCTTCTTAGAAAGTCTTCAGCTTTCCCAAACTCGCCATAAGTCATCCCTAATTAAAAATAACTGCCTAAGAAAGTCATGCAAACACACCCGAATAAAAAAAAAAATACTGCAACCCAAGACGTCATCCATCTCCCCAAACGCACACCAAAATAAAAACAGCAGCCAAAGAGAGTCATCTTCTCCCTAAACTCACCAGCTGACTCCAAAATAAAAAAAAAAATACTGCAACCCAAGACGTCATCCATCTCCCTAAACTCACACCAAAATAAAAACAGCAGCCAAAGAGAGTCATCTTCTCCCTAAACTCACCAGCTGACTCCAAAATAAAAAAAAATAAAAAACACAGCACAAGGCACAAGAAAGTCATTTACAGCCCAAACAATATTTAAAATTAAAAACAAAAGTATTGCAAAAAAAAAGAGCCCAAGCAAGCCGCTTATAGCTCAAACATAAAAAAAAAATTATTGATTACAACAACAACAACAAAAATAAGCCCAAGAAAGTTGCTTATTGTCCAAAATAAAAACAGTAACCCATCTCACCAAACTCATCCCAAAATAAAAACAGCATACTAAGAACCTCACCTATCTCCACAAACACACTCAAAAAAACTGCCAATAACTGCCTTTATTACCATTTTTGCGGTGTAGGCACAGTGGGTCTTTGAGCCTGAGAATTTATGGCCCGCATGGCTGTGCTGTCCGCACAACTGTGCAGCTGAGGATTTTATTTTGTCCCGACAGAAAAAAATCCCCAGCCTTACCGAGGATTCGAACCCTGGTCTTCCTCTTGAGAGCCCAGCATTTTAACCGCTCGACCAGCCAAACATAGTCACCTATCTCCCGAAACTCACGAGGTGACCCAACATAAAAAAATAAAAAAACAGCATAAGAAAGCCATTTACTGTCTAAAATATCAAAAGTAACCAAAGTAACGCAGCCATCTTTAAAGTTAAAAAAAAAAACGCAACCCAAGAAAGTCATCCATGGTACCCCCCCCCCCTCCTCTTACCCCTCCTCCACCCCCCCTACCCCCCACACCCTCCCCACCCCAATCCCCCAACAATCCCAGAATTTCATCCATCTTTTAAAATAATAACAGCAGAATAAGAAAATCATCCATCTTCCAAAAAATCCACAGCAGCAGAAGAAAGTCACCCATCTCCAAAAAAAAAAAAGAAAAAACAGCAGCATAAGAAAGTCACCCATCTTCCTAAACTCACCTGGGCTTTTTGTAACCCAATCTCCTGAGACTGAAGAACTTTTCCAAACGTCTCAAACACCTTGGTGATATTATCCCTGAACTCTATCACAGAACTGGCCCCATATATTCTGAAATATTTCATCATACAAGTGATAATTTAGTCATATTAGTGAGGATGTCCTTAGACGGTTATTGACGTTGTTCTCTTGTTACATTATCTTACCACACCAAAAAAAAAAAAACTTTCTTTTTTATAGTTGTTTACAATGTTATTCTTTCATTATGTTTATCCAAGAATTATTGTTAGTTACTCTGGCAGTTGGGTCACCGTGGCGGAGCGGCTAGACGCTCACCACGGATCGAAAGGTAGTGGGTTCGCTCCCTGGCGGAGCCAGATTTTAAAAAAAATGACCTTGACTCCCAGGTTGACCCAGGCTTAAGTGCGCACCGGGTGCAGTCCTAGGAAAGTAAAGGTGGCTGGCGTGATGCTGACCACATCACCCATCTTGTGCCAATTAGTTTATAAAAATATAGGTCTAGCCCTATATGCCCTTAGGCGTGGAAGAGAGTCTTTTACTTTTTTTTTTCCTTTTTTTTTTTAACTCTGGCAGTTAAAGGTATTCACAACATCCAACTGTACTGCCTTCAAATACTGCTTAGTTTATTTGTTCATATTCCAAGATTCACTACCACACATCAGATCAGTCTGGCCATAAGATTTCTATTCTAGTTTTCTGATATTCAATAAGTTATTTAGTTTTTTAAACAAAAGATCATCCTCGCTGCACACTGAACCAATCACTCCACCAGCGCTTAGATCCCCTTCCCAGTAAATCCTGCAGTGTGTAGCGGCCGATGACACCTGTTTTATTCAACGGATTAACATCATGGCACACGGGTGTAACCCATAAGTGCTCCGTTCTACTTCTAACAAGGCTGAGTCTGAAGAAGCTCAGCATAGTGCATGAATTCCACTGCACCAGTGAGGACCCTGAAATACTTTGGGTAAATTTTTAATTCTAAATTTTGCCCGGGCAGCGCTGTCAGGCTTCTCTTTTCAGATTTCCAACTGCCAAGGTATTTTTTACATGCGCAACAATACACACAGGTGTCCGGTCTCGCTACCCAGAGACCAGGGGAAATTACTAGAAGTCCATTGGAAAAAATCCCAGCCTTCACCAGGGTGACACCAATTCTGTGTTAGTTTGTTCGCCTTCTTTGGCTTCCTGCTTAGTGTTACCACTGTCTTTTAAAAAAATGTGACCACCCATATATGAACTTTATTTGAAATGCAGCTTTTGTTTGGCCTAATTTGAAGTTAGCCTTCACTAAACATCAGAGCATACGTTATTTGATAATCAATTCTATTAAAACAGAGAAATCACTAACCTCTGAGACAACATACAAGAGGAATCACTAACCTCTGAGACAACATACAAGAGAAGTCACTAACCTCTGAGACAACATACAAGAGAAATCACTAACCTCTGAGACAACATACAAGAGAAATCACTAACCTCTGAGACAACATACAAGAGAAATCACTAACCTCTGAGACAACATACAAGAGAAATCACTAACCTCTGAGACAACATACAAGAGGAATCACTAACCTCTGAGACAACATACAAGAGAAGTCACTAACCTCTGAGACAACATACAAGAGAAGTCACTAACCTCTGAGACAACATACAAGAGAAATCACTAACCTCTGAGACAACATACAAGAGAAATCACTAACCTCTGAGACAACATACAAGACTTGACAGAAAACTTGAAAATATCACCCAGCACCTGTTGATCAAATGGTAGAATGTCAGTGATTCAAAAAGATTATTTCAGTGAGGATACATTTTTGGTGGCTATAATAACACTGAACATAAATACAGAGAATGCAATGATGACAATGATGATGATGATGAAAACAATAACTATGAACACACTATTTATAAATTATTTAACATGTAAAGGACTATATTAACTGCATGCCAGAAAAGGTAAGAACAACATATGCTAAGTTACTAGCATCGATTGTCCTAGGTTCAAACCTGCACTGGGCATATTTGAAGATAAAATTAACCATGGCTGCCAGATTAACCCAGCCTAAAACGGGTACCAGGCAATGTCCTGGGAAGTAATGGCAGCCGTCGTGATGATGACCACATCGTCCATCAAGTGCTGATTTTTCTATAAAAGATATCAGTGTAGCATCAAATGCTCAAAGTGTGACTGGCATGCAAAAGGTTCTTTACTTTACCTGCTCCTTCAGTAGGTGTCAAAATCTGAGGAGCTAACAATACCGCCTGCCCACTGCTACAGTCTGCTCGAAAAGTTGGGCCCTCAAACTTTAACAAATATCTGGAAAACTCCTGCACAGATCAACAATGTGCATGTGGTTTTAGATTTCTAAAGTCCTTATGATTTCATCATTTACAACTGCACATGTGCTGCTGTTTTCTTACAGCAGCAAATTTATTTGATCTTTGTCAGATGAATAATTTGTGTAACCCAAAAAAAAAATATTTTAAACAAATTGACACAATCGTGTACTTTTGATGAGCCAAGTAACAAGCATTATGGCAGTGCATGACAGATCCACTTCACTATTCAAAATAAGCATACCTTAGTTTCTCACATGGATTATCTCCAAAACGCGTGCAGTTTGATGTTTTGCCAACTTGGCCATAAATCATTTACACATGCAAACATGCTAACTGTAAAGTCTGAATCTGTGTGTTTTTCAAAAACTACAAATAAGGCAATTTAAAAAAATCTAGATGTTTGTTTATATTTTTTGTTTTATAATTATTTTCAACAAACTGCAACAATTTACACCCAACAGTTACTGAATTTAAAATTTTTTTTTTTTAAAGTTGAGCTTGACTTTTGGAATGGACTATAGCACACACACACACAAACACATAATAAACATGGAAAGAACCAGTAATAGACTTCAACATCTGACCTTGAACACTCTCTTGCTGGGCAGTTCACTGCTGCCTGTGGTGTAGAATTTCTCCACTTGAGTCTGGAGACACTGTATTAACTCCCTGTAAGATATCATACAAGGGGGTCAGTCGACTAGTTCTACATGAATGGTGAAGATTCCCTGTCTTGGTTCAAGGCCCCATTTTAGTGTGGGGGGGGGGGGGGGTGTGGGGGGGGAGGAGGAACAGGCCCACTACCCTCCAACACCATTGTTAAAAACAGAGGTAGCTGCAGTCAAGGTGATATCCAGAAATTAAGTCCCTAACTACTAAATTTACCTTTTACCTTTGTCTATTTCTTTGGAGGCTGGGGCTTAGTACTTCCCCTCTAATTTATTTACTGATAAAGACTTTGGTTAAAACTATCTGTTGATCTGTGCACATCTTTGCCCCCTTCGTCACTCAATGAGCTTTCCAGTCAAAGTTTGGGTCTAGGTTCTATATGAAATAATTAGTGCAGTGCTGGACTGATAGTTCTCTGTATTCGAATCCACAGCATCCCTATGTGGGTTGTGGGACCCATTTGGAGAGACGGGAAAAAAAAGGGGTGGGGGGGGGGTGGTGGGGGGACAGAACTATAGCACCCTAAAAAGCATGCTATAAATGATGACTAGAATAAATGCGGCAAATAGTAACATGGTTTCTCTTAATGGTATCCTAAATATTAACATGGTTTCTCTTAATGGTATCCTAAATATTAACATGGTTTCTCTTAATGGTATCCTAAATATTAATATGGTTTCTCTTAATGGTATCCCAAATAGTAACATGGCTTCTCTTAATGGTATCCCCCTCCAAGACGTGGAGTCATACACCTATTTGGGCAATACTGTAGATAAAGATGGGGGAACTGATAGAGAATGTAAAATAGGAATACATAAGGCAAGAGGAGCTTTGATAGCAACAGGGAATTTATGGAGGTCAAAAGAATTTAAAACTAATATTAAACGTACAATTGTTAATTCTACTGTCAAATCAGTATTGCTGTGTGGAGCGGATTATGGAGAACAATTAAAGCAATTTCTAATAAACTACAAACATTCATTAACTGGTGCCTAGAATTAAACAGTATGTCAGAATCACTAATGCAGAACTTTGGGAGAGAACTAAACAAGTTCCAATGGACAAAGGAGTGAAGAAAATATGCTAGCATTGGATATGACACCCCTGGGGAAACTGGAAAACAATATAACTAGAATGTCTTTGCACTGGGACCCACAGGGGCACAATAAAGAAAGACCAAAAAAACACATGGAGAGTGAAGTTAAAAAGGTAGGGAAGATATGAGGAGGGTTGCATGCGATGGCCTAGGATAGAACAACTTGGCGTGAATTGGTTGAGAAAGGCATATACATCACAGCCCAAATAAAAACCACAAGAGCACACCACGCCAAGCACCATAGCTGGCTCAGCCCCCCCTGCATCCCTGTCATTGATCTGATGGTAGACTGTCCTTCTCTGTGGGCTGTCTGTCCTAGAACAGAAGATAGTCAGACTTACCTGTGGGCAAGTGGAGATGAGAAAGACTTCTCTAAGTAGTCTTCGAGGACAAAGGAAAATTTCTCAAACATCTCTTCATGGAGGAGGCTGAAGATCCGAACCTTGTAGGAAACATAAGGACAGGTAAAGATTTAACAAACATACTTAACCACATCGGATTTTAAAAAAATGTTTACATGAAGTACATATACACTGTTGGTAAGTATACTAAATTAACGGTGTCATAAGGTACTTTATACATTAAGCACTAAATCATAACAACAAATACGAAGTGTCCTAGAAGAGCTGTCAGAGTAACAAAAAGATGTTCAATTAAAAATGAAACAAATGAGAAGACTAGGACTGGACTGAAACTGGTCATATATTTCATGAAACCAATAATATATTTCATTAAAGAGCAACAGATGAGATGGTTTGACCACCTGAAAAGAAAGCCTTGGTACCAACTGCCACAGAGAGTCACACTGAAGAAATGTAATAAACACAAAACAAACAAGTGCTCAAAAGATGGAATGATTTAATCAAGAACACTCAACCTAAATCTTCTTTTTCTTCTTATTGTTAGCGTTCACCAGCTGTAAACTACAGTGGAAAGTTTTGCTTGTTCATCCCATTCTAGAATTTGGTCTCGTTCCAAAACTTAAGATTCTACATACACATCTGTATTGCAAATCTGGCTTATTTGCATGCAGACTGTTGGTTTCTCAACCCTCAAGCAGGTGCACATCGATTTTGAAGGAAACGCCTCTAATTAGTTGTCTTCTGCAACATGTTTGTTAAAGGAGCAGTGAGTCTCTTCTGTCCCCCCAAATGGAACCTTGGAACCCAAATGGGTAGATTAATTTTGACATCAGAAGGAGCATACATAGGTTCCTGACACCCCCCCCCCCCCCCCCCCCCCCCCCCCCCCTCCCACACTCTGATGAGGTAACTGGGTAACTGGAGAAAGAGAAGAAGATAAGGTACACTGTGCTGATGGGATTAACCGCATACCTTTTTACATCACAAAATTATTGTACAAAAAAGCTGCATCTGTTATCTCAGTCAGCACCAAACAGCTGACAAAAGCTGCATCTGTTAACTCAGTCAGCATCAAACAACTGATATTCTTTTTGTTGGGCACTATTTACATCATCTAATGATCTTTATCCACTGACCACATCCCAGTTGCAATGTTTAACCACTCTGTCCTTGTGTACTGTTTAGATCTCTGTCATTGGAACATTACATCAACTCCTCATACCCATATATTTATTACTTAGAATAATATTTTAACTGTGGCATCTGCCTTGGCTAAAACAGTTTAGTATTCTTATCCTTCTGCGTTTCCCCTTAAAAGGATGGCTGTTACTTATTTTGTGGCTTACAACTAGGTAAGCAACATCTACGCCTTTTGGCCCAGTACATCCAGTTACAGCAAACTCATTTGTCACTTTTGTTGTTGTTGTTGCATGGTAGTTTAGGTGCAGTGGGTCTATTATTTGTTTCTTTACCCCCAAGATGGGGTCCTGAAACCCGCAAAAATGGACAATAGAACTTTGATTCAAGTAAAAAGTGGCGCCACAATCTTTAAACTGTCATTATGACATTACTGTGTTTGTCTGCATTAACATCATGTGCTTAACCATCTTGACATCCTTGACAACAATACTGACAGGTTACTAGATAATGGCATGGTTATTGTAAAGTCTATCTCACTTTTCAGGTTTTTCATTTGAAGTCCCGTTTTTATTAAGAAGAGTCTAACTCTGTACAATACCTGCATTCCTTCTACAGTAACTCTTCTGATGGGTAGAAGACTTCCCTTATCTGTCCCAGCACTAGCATACAATCCAGCCACTTACCAGTGCATCAAAGATGTTGGCAGCAAAAGAGACAGGCTGGCCCTCTCCAGATGTCAGCATATTAAATAAGGCATCCAGTATATCTTGTAGGTACTGTTGGACAAACCATACACAGCATCACTGATTAAACCTCTATCACTGGCAGCTAGAAAACAAGATTTACAGAACCAGTTCTAGCTAATGACACTCAGATCGGCACAGCCTGATACAAATCAGTACCAGATTTTCTGTATTCAACATCAGCAACACTGAACATTCAGTCCTGCCTGGGCCACAAACAGGACAGTGCATCCAAGATCACTGCTATTTCCCAACAGCTATTTCCTGTAGGTGTCCATGTGTGAGTTCTGGGCTCCATGTAGAGGCAAAGAAGAATAGATCCACTACCGCTCTTACTTGATGGGTGACTTATCAGCTGGGATCAAATGTGTCAGGCTAAAAGATGGATATTGCAGCCTGGCTGTAAACTACAACACAACATGCCGATCTCCTTTTTAAGGGTGCGCACAGAAGAAGAGATAGGGTAGGTGAGCTCTAAAACAACTGTCCTGGCCTAAATATTGTTGTTTGTTCCTTCCTGTTAAGTTTGTTTATGCTGTCATTCCCTGGTCTGTAGTCTTCACTAACTCCCTCCTCCACCATGAATCCAAATCCCTTCTTCAGGACTTTTAGTGTACTAGATAAATTACAGAATGTTATTGAAATTGTCTGAAAAGGAAACTGAAAGTCCATCCCACCTCATATGCTGCGACTATAGTGTGTGACGGCCCAATATTTCACACTCCAATTACAATATGCACCATGGGGGAACCTTTCATTTACCTGTGAATAATGGACAAATAATAAACAAGCCAAAATTTAAAAAAACAAAAACAACCTCTGAGTCTGGAGATGTGTGGTTGTTTCTTCTTACTCCTCTTAATCTTCTATGTGTGCCCTTAAGAGAGCCATTGGCAAGATGTGTTGTGGTTTCCAGATAGTCTGCAACATCTGTGTCATTAAGAGACAGCAAAATCTGCGTCTTTAAGCCATTGCATCCAATTTCAGCAAATGCCTAATGAGTCACTGTTTCCTACATGCTTGTCAGGATTAGTGGGTCAATTCTTCTCTGCCCCCAGAACAAAGTCCTGGAATATCTGGATAGGCAAATGCTGAACATTTACTGGGTAGCTAAAATGAGTAATTTTGGTTGTCTGAAAGAGGTTAAGATCCAATCATAAAGTGGCAGATGTCATATTTTGGCTACATAATGAGAAGAAATTACTGCAACATTTGACAACTAAAAAGAATATTCTTCATCCTCGTGTTCACGGGCTGTAAACTCCAACAGAAAGTTCTAGCTGTTCACCCACTTCTGGACTCTGGTCTTGTTCCAAAACTTGAGTTTTGTGTGCATATCCATTTTATAAATCTGGCTTATTTGTATACAGACTGTTGGTTCCTAGCCTCTCAAGCAGATGAACCTTATCCTTGAAGGAAACACACCTATTTAGTCAGCTTTTATGACATGCTTGGTGTCCACACCCCCCCCCCCTCCCCCCACCATAATAGGGCCCTGGCACTGACATGGGGAGAAATATTACTGACAACAGAAGGAAACAGCCACCTTTTGTCAGGGCATGGGAAGGCATCAGCACACACAAACACACGCTGTTAAAGACTGCATGATAGGGAGACCCACTACTGCCATTCAGCAAAGTACATGATAATAATGATGATTTGTTATTATGGTTATCATCACCTTTGAAATTCTCCAGCACCACAATGATTATGCAAATAAGTGGGTTAGAAAGGGTTAACAAATAACTGGGAAAGGACAGGTGGAACAAATAGTGGAAAAGCCACTAAGAGTACTCATGACATTATCTCAATGTTATGCTCACCCGAATAAGCTCCTGTCCCTTCAGTGTCAACAGCTGCTCTAGGTGTTGTGGAATAGTCTTGGCAAGGTCGGGGTTTGATGCCCACTGGAGGACGCTCAACAGCTCAGCTGGCAAGATCCAGATACAACAGCAAAATTATTATGGTAAAAGACACTGTTATTTGTTTCTTGTCCATCAGAAGTGACGAAGACCACTCATTCTTTCATTCGTCATGAAACTACAGTTGACTGTCTGCAAGTCTGGGGGTGACTTAAAAGCCCAATACGGGATTATAAGAGGATCCTAGGATCTAGGGCAATAAGGGCAAGGAACAGTGTCTATAGATATCTGCATCTTTCTAGCCCAACTTTGCTGTTCTACTGCCCTTTTCTTAGATGCCTCGCAAGTCGCTGTGCCTCTTCAGTTAGAGAGAGGTTCACTATTCAGCCCAGTTTTGCTTTAACTAATATTGGAAACAAATTAAGCAGCAGCAGATACAGACTTTTCCTTGTCAAATATAAACCAGATCACCATGGGCTGCCTCTGACAGTGGTACACAAATACTAATGCCACTGAACACCTAATGCCCCCCTCCAGAAATATGTGTCATTATTCTGTAACAATAACTGGCTACAGATCATCATCATCATCATGTAGCAGGTCCTTTGCAGAACCTCGCTCTTATCACGGTCTGCCTGAAAGAAACTCGCTCTCTCGCCAGTTCTACCGCCTCATGTACTTTCATACTCAAAGAGTCACTTATATCCTATGCCCATCTTCGTGTCAGTTGGCCCCTGCCCCTCCTTCCTGGAACCATGCCTATAATTTTTTTTCCAATCCATCGTGGCGCTAAAGATATAGTTACAAATAAAATACACAACAACAAGTTGACTGGTGTACATGGATAATATGCCAAAATGTATGGTAAGTTACTTGGGACAGAAAGATTTAAGAATATGTTTACAGCAGACAAGTCCCACAATGTCAATTGAGTTTACACATCATGAAAATGACAGTTCAAAGGATGTTTTGTGAGATTAGGCTAGATAAAAACTGTTTCACATGACATGAAAATAACACAAAAAAGGTTCTGATGATGCAAACGTAGCAGTTCAAATGACATTTAATGAGTTCAGACAACATAACAATTGGAAAGTGCAAACAACATTTAAAGAGTTCATAAGACAAGATTGGAAAGTGCAAACAACATTTAACGAGTTCATAAAACAAGATTGGAAAGTGCAAACAACATTTAATGAGTTCAGAAGACAAGATTGAAAAGTTCAAACAACATTTAATGAGTTCAGAAGACAAGATTAAAAAGTTCAAACAACATTTAATGAGTTCAGAAGACAAGATTAAAAAGTGCAAAAAACATTTAATGAGTTCAGATGACAAGATTAAAAATGTAAAAACAACATTTAATGAGTTCAGAAGACAAGACTGAAAAGTGCAAACAACATTTAATGAGTTCAGAAGACAAGATTGGAAAGTGCAAACAACATTTAATGAGTTCAGAAGACAAGATTGGAAAGTGCAAACAACATTTAATGAGTTCAGAAGACAAGATTGGAAAGTGCAAACAACATTTAATGAGTTCAGAAGACAAGATTGGAAAGTGCAAACAATATTTAATGAGTTCAGAAAACAAGATTAGAAAATGCAAACAACATTTAATGAGTTCAGAGGACAAGATTGGAAAGTGCAATCAACATTTAATGAGTTCAGAAGACAAGATTGGAAAGTGCAAACAACATTTAATGAGTTCAGAAGACAAGACTGGAAAGTGCAAACAACATTTAATGAGTTCAAAGGTAGCTGACCTTTCTGTGCAAACTTGGTAGAACAAAGCAAAGTCTCTATGGTGATGTACTCCTTGTTTGAGTGTGGGTATGTTTTACTGTTTGTTTCCGGTAAAGTGTAGTCAATGAATTCATCTCTTCTCGATGGGATTCTCAGGTAATTCTTTATTTTAGCAACACTGTCACACTAAAGAAAATATGAAAATAAAAGTATAAAATACAATACACTTCTTGGCAGCCATAAAAAAAAAAAAAACATAATAATGTATGCGTTTCAAAAGTTTTGTGTGTGTTTACGTACTCTGATGAGTCTCGACAGAAAGAAAAACAAATGAGGCTCTTGAAATGTGGACAGCTAGAGGACAGGTGAAGGTTTTTCACTGCGAGACTTGAGTTCTTGAGTTTTGCTCACACAACTGTTTTCAAGATCTGGCCTCATTTGTCTCCCATCAAAGTCCAGAAGTGGACAAAAAAATCAGAACTTCCAACTGGAGTTTACAACTGGTAAGTGCTAAAGAGGAGGAAATGAAAGTTTCATGGATTTTATTTGGGTTGGCGTGTGGGGAAAGGATGGGGGGGGGGGGGGGGGGGATGTGACAGAGATTATTATCATCCTCCTTCTTTTTTGCCACTGTGCATCATGGGAAGGAATAATTGGCGGTCCAGCACTCGATGGGTGACATTGGCATTTTTTTCTTCCATACGAAAGTACAATGTCTTTAATGCCATCATTCCTTAATCTTCCTTTGGGGAGGGGGAAAAAGGGATATCAGCTGTAGAAAGAAATTACCTCACAAAAAGAACTGATTATTCATGAAAGGTCACAAAAGAGAAACTCTATAACAGCAGGATGTGTCTATGGTCGAGTCAGTTATAAGAGAAAGAAGCAGAAGCTTCTATCTCCCCAAACACCCGAAGAAGTGACAAAGAAGATGAAGAAAAGATGAAGAAAAAGATGTCTTACCCTATATATACAGAGATCATATTTGCCGTCCAGTCGTGTAGTGTTTTCCTTAGTGGTCACAGACAGATAAGCAAACCCATACAGCTTCTTGATTTTCTTTTGATCTGCAAAGAAAATCCTCACATCTCTTCAATCCCTACATAACATTCCAGTGGTTCAGGCTGTTTGTTTCTGCTATTTAGAACTTATATTACGGAAAATCTACTGGTTATGTGAGTGGTTTAGGTCTTTGCGTTAGACTTTACTCCTTACGTATTATTTAACAGTGTATATGTATCCCTTTACATCCATATTTTGTTTTCCGTGCTTATCTTTTTTCTGTTTATTCTCTTTCCTCTTCTTTTCTCCTCTTCTTGCTCTTCTACTGTTTCTTTATCATCATTACCATCTTCACCTGTCTATCCTCCTTTTCGTCTTCTTCCTCCCTCTTTCTCCTTCTTCTTCCTTTTCTACTTCATCTACATATTCTTCTTTCTCATCTTCCTACCTAATAAATTATTTGTGGTATGTCAATTTTACAGTGAAGCTACAAAACAATCACCATTTAGCACACACGTGGAATTTCTACAAGCTTTTCCCAGTCCACTTCTCGATAGGTCCCCAACTTTTTATCTTCCTCGCACTTGCTTCCTGTATACATTTCCCAAAAAAGCATTCTTCATATTTATCAGTTCCAGCAGTGGATACTTCAACTCCTTTTATTTAAACGTTAAATATATGCTAAAAATTTTTGTGATTGTCTTGGGTTACAAATACAAATATAAGCTTAACGGGTTAAGTAATATCTAGGGCAAACAGATAACCTGAATGTAAGAAAACCACATGAAATGGGCCTCAGCCAGTGGTAAATGGTAGAAGAGTTCCCCTGCAGATACTGCCATTGTGGTGTGACCGATCAGACCTTCACATGAGCCATGATATCCAGTGTGACAAGCTTCCTTCCTTGTTACCTCTCACAGATAATTAGGGGCCGCGTTTGCGCAGTCAACAGGAGACTCGCTTTCAAATCCAGCTGCGACTTGCTGTAGTCCACAGCCGGTGTTTAAAACCGGGCGGTTACCGGGGTTCAGCCAGCCTCTAGGTAATGGGTACCAGAGTTAACACTCTGGGGTAAATGGAGGAACGTCGCTGTAGCTACGGAGTTGCGTGTGGATAGCAACAGTTTCTTATCAGCTGTCCGTACTGGTGGCAGAGCACTTATGGTTTATAACTGTGTGCAGTGACGCTGGTTTACATCTTCTGACTTTTTTGTGTGGGTGCAGATAATTCAGAGACAATTTTCAGGTATCCATTTGTATGATGTGTAGTTGAGTCCAGAGCTGCACTGATGAGATTAAAATAATCTATCATTTGCTGAGGTGTGGGGTGATCAGGCTTCTTTACATCTTCCAATATGTAACAGTATGTATCATGTGTGCCTTGTCAGCTCTTGTACCAAGTCACATTTCTCCACACTCTGTGATCAACATTTATCAATTTTTGTGCTGTGACTGTGTCTTCATCTATTTCTCTTTTTAGAAATCTTACCATTTCTCACAACATATTGCAATTTTAATCTTCTTAAAATGTTGTCGAAAAATGTAAATGTGTCTATCCGATATTTGTGATGAGTTGTCTTCACGGCTTAGCTTTTTTCAAATCATTTCGAAGGCTTTTTTTAAATTTGTTCGTTCGCTGTCCACAAAACTGTATGCATTCTTCTGTAAAACCACACCTATGAGGTCTCAATGACCAAACTAGCAAACAGTTAGCAAACCATCTGTTGTTACACTGTTTAAATAAGACATTATGTGTCACCTACTTTTGCTACCAAAAGAATGAACATGGCATTTTGTTTTATCACGGCTGATGTTCCTAATCGGTCATGAATAAACACAAATAGTCTAGTGAAACCTCAAGAGGTAGAAAACAACCAAGAACAATCTGGACTGAAGGAGCCATTGATATCTTGAGACTCCCCAACATCACAGCATACAGAGAAACCAACGCCCCCTAGCTTCTGATCATCTGTTAACCTGTGATGTCCAGCGGTACAAATAGACACAAGAAAAGAAAGTCCAGTGACAGACACCCTTACTCACCTGAGCAATGATAAATGTCTAGTCTGATGTGGGACATGTTGAACTTTTCTATCGGCACTGATAACTGAGGACAGTCAAGAAATTAACACTGGTCACAGAAAACATGTTTTTCTCATTTATAAAATAAAATAAGTTAAAGATGTTTGAGACAAAATAAGGGTAAGTAACAAATTTTTGTCAATGACAATGCGAAAGAGTTATGTGCAGGAAATACTTAAGTATGAAAGCCAGTTATGAGCAAGTTTGTGTGTGGTTTTTTAAAAATAATCTTTGTTTATTTTTAAACAGGGTTTTTAAAAAGAGGATCCACTTTACTGCACTAGTTCTGATCTCATATGTTGACAGAGGATATATCTGTTTCGAAATAAATAGCAAGTAAATGGCATTATGTAATGCTTACCAAATGATAAAAATCAATGTCAACTGTAATATTCTTGACAAAGACTTATGTGACACATAATTCCATTTTTGGCTGCTACATTATTTAATAGATAAATTAACCATTTTGCCCTGGAAACCAAGTGGGGAAAGAGCCTTGAAACAGAGAATTCTTTCCTAAAATATTCTTTACTAGTTTACACAGGTAGCCAACATATTTTTTTTTTTTAGGAATTTACCCCGTTTAAAGTATATTCATATCTGAGCCTTCAAACACTGTGCAGGTGCAAACAGAACCAATTCTATCTGTGAGTATCCAAAGACAATAATCCTATAAATGAGATTCATGGGTTGCGTAACAGAAAATATGATGATTCGAGGTGAAAGAGTTAAATGACACATACTCAAAGACACCACTCCACCAGATGCTGTTACACTGTTTAAATAAGACATTATGTGGCACATACTCAAAGACACCACTCCACCATCTGTTGTTATATTGTTTAAATAAGACATTATGTGGCACATACTCAAAGACACCACTCCACCAGATGCTGTTACACTGTTTAAATAAGACATTATGTGGCACATACTCAAAGACACCACTCCACCATCTGTTGTTATATTGTTTAAATAAGACATTATGTGGCACATACTCAAAGACACCACTCCACCAGATGCTGTTACACTGTTTAAATAAGACATTATGTGGCACATACTCAAAGACACCACTCCACCATCTGTTGTTATATTGTTTAAATAAGACATTATGTGGCACATACTCAAAGACACCACTCCACCAGATGCTGTTACACTGTTTAAATAAGACATTATGTGGCACATACTCAAAGACACCACTCCACCATCTGTTGTTATATTGTTTAAATAAGACATTATGTGGCACATACTCAAAGACACCACTCCACCAGATGCTGTTACACTGTTTAAATAAGACATTATGTGGCACATACTCAAAGACACCACTCCACCATCTGTTGTTATATTGTTTAAATAAGACATTATGTGGCACATACTCAAAGACACCACTCCACCATCTGCTGTTACACTGTTTAAATGAGACATTATGAGGCACATACTCAAAGACACCACTCCACCAGATGCTGTTACACTGTTTAAATAAGACATTATGTGGCACATACTCAAAGACACCACTCCACCATCTGCTGTTACACTGTTTAAATGAGACATTATGAGGCACATACTCAAAGACACCACTCCACCATCTGCTGTTACACTGTTTAAATGAGACATTATGTGGCACATACTCAAAGACACCACTCCACCAGATGCTGTTACACTGTTTAAATAAGACATTATGTGGCACATACTCAAAGACACCATTCCACCATCTGCTGTTACACTGTTTAAATAAGACATTATGTGGCACATACTCAAAGACACCACTCAACCATCTGCTGTTACACTGTTTAAATAAGACATTATGTGGCACATACTCAAAGACACCATTCCACCATCTGCTGCTACACTGGGTTGAGATAGATATGAAGATATGAATACAGTAACTAAATATTGCATTGGGGGTGGGGTTGTCCTTTGAGCCAAATAGCTTGTTTATGGCCAAGCTGAGGTCAATTTGCCCATAAGCCTCAGTGATATATGATAAAGGTCATGGGATTACAGCATGTCACCTGATGGATGTATTTAAGGCCATGTGGGATGTACTCCATTCAATGCTTCACCCTTTTTCGTGTTTATGGAATTCACTTTATATACTTTTGTATACGGGGGGGGGGGGGATTTTAAATGTAGATTAAAATTTTTTTTATGAATTTATTAGTGATCTATGTAAAATTGTTTTCTTTAAAAGATTTTGGGGGGGGGGGGGGAGAATTCCAATAGGGTGATGACCCTTTTTCTTTTTTAAGTCTACCTGGGTTGGTAGGGTTCAATTATACGACATTCGAACAACATATGACACCATTCCATTTTCAGCTGTTAAATACTTTGAGACATTATGTGAAGTTTAAATCCAGGATATCCTTCGCCTTGAGACCATAACATTTATAAAACATTACAAGACTTACCCGAATGGTTTCATTCCACTCTGGTTTGTTGTTATGATACAGAACATATGAACTGAAGCTGGACTTCAAGTTCTCCCCATTGGCAGCAAGTACACAGTCCTAGACAAGGAAACAATCCCCACACACTTGCAGTATAACCAACGAATCAAACAGAAAGCTTTTTTACCCTAATACAATTTCTATCTTGCAGAATTCTTCTGCTGTTGTTTTGTTAAACATGCAGAAGAGACCGGGAAAAAAGCTACAAAATACAAAATTCCGTAAACTGTGATGTACAAGTTGACCTGATGCAGAAGTTGAACCCAATCTGTTTAGCTCAAAATTCTGTTAGGCCTATAATTTATATCTACCTAACACATTTTATGTGTGCATTTCATGTGCATACAAACAATGCCATATACATCCTAAGGACATTGTCAGAAAGAGCTATAGAAGTAAAGGCTGATTTGTATTTATGCTTCATAGACTATTCAAAAGCATTTGACTGTGTGAAACATAAAGGATTAATCAAACTATCAGAAAAATTATACACTTATGGAAAAGATCTACAAATAATAAAGAATATGTACTGGCAGCAAACAGCAGCTATAAGAATTAACAACTGTTTAAGTATATTTCAGAGCTTAAAGAGGGGCATACGACAAGGATGTGTACTGTCACCTATTTATTTTAATTATACAGTGAATGTATGAGATCTTTACTTGATTTGCCTGAAATTGTAGTTGGTGGGCATAATATAAATTATACGTTATGCTGATGACACGGTCTTGATAGCAACAAGTCAGAATGAACTACAGGAAATGATAGACATTGTGGTGGTAAAAATTGGAAGAATGGCCCTCACTTTGAATAATGGAAAGACAGAAGTAATGGTGGTATCAAAGAAAAGAATTATTTCTAAATGTGTAATAAAAGTCATTGGTGTTATTTTGGGACAAGTACATAAATTAAAGTATCTGGGCACATGGATAACATTAGATGGAAGATGCATCACATAGATAAGAAACAGAATAGTACAGGCAAAAACTGCATTTAAAAAAAGGAAGAACATCTTATGAACATCTGTCAATGAAGGTTAGAAAAAGAATTCTTGCTTGCTACATACATCCAGTTTTAATAAATGGCTGTGAGTCCTGGACAATTCGGTAGGAAGGCTAAACAATTTCTTGAGGCCTCAGAGATCTGGTTTTACAGAAGAATGCTTAGAATACCTTGAACAGCCAAAAAGAGCAACCAAGAGGTTTCGAAAGAGGTGGGAGCCCGAAAACAACTTATCACAAACATCAGAAGGAGACAGTCATCATTTTTCGGCCATGTTATAAGAAGATGAAAAATGGAGCATGTTGTGACCACTGGAAAGATCTGTGGAAGGAGGGATAAGGGAAGACAACGAGAGAAGTTTCTTGACAGTCTTGTTGCATGGGATGGAGGTGTGTCAGCACACAAATTGATTCATGCTGCAGGTGATCGTAGATTGTTTTGGGATGATCGCAGATTGTGTAGAGATGATCGCCCACGCCAATCCACAAGGCACCTGATGATGATTTCATGTCATGCAGGAGGAAGAAAAGGAGGAGGTGGAAGAGGAGGAGATGGAAGAGAAGGAGGAGGAAGAAGAAGACAAGAAGTAGAAAAAATTAAGACTATTTACCATAGGCAGCAACTACACAAAGACATATTTCTTTCATTTTCCCTCCAGAGATAAAAACACATATCAATATAGAGGTTAACAAGCAATAAAAGCCTATGGCACAACACTAGCAAATGTAAGTACAGATTCTGAGGACATGCACCTTAACTATGGCAACACAGAGATGCAAGTCACTGACCATGTCAAAACACAGACCTGTCAATTGATTCCAGTGTGGATAATATAAAGCAGTGCTATTCGATTAACTTTACTCAGGGGCAAAAAATGTTGGAAATGGCGATCATCACTGGTCACAGATCTAAGTCTCAGCATAGAAAGATCAATAATGCAATACAACTGGTGATGATCCAGATGCCACTTGCTGGGGCTCTGTGGGCTGTATTCGGCCCGCCTTCTGCCAACTGAATAGTCTTGATAAGAAGTGTACCCAATGAATGACAGTCTCAGAATGAGCTTCATCCCTAGTCACTACTGTATTGGTTCCCAGGTCATTTCTTCACTGTATTTGTTTCATGCCCGATCAGTCCAACTGTGGTGTAAATCTGGGTGGCTTTAAATCTAACAACATATGAACTCTGCCAAAAGAGTTATGCTTATCATGTTCTCAAGGATATTAAAAACTGTCACCATCAAGGTCAAGACAGGAGACGTTACAACTAACTCCGGTTTGGGAGCAGTCAAGATACCTTTTGACATCTGCTGCAACAGAGGACTCAACTTGAATGGGAATACCCAATTTGCCATGATATCAGCCACAAAACACAGCATAAAACAATGAATGTGACAAACAAGAAGAAAAAACAGAAAGGGGAGAATTCTTCAAGTTATAAATAGGAATAAAATATCAGAAATAGTTGGTGGGCTGATAATTTTTTTAAAAATAAAAATAGTTATAAAAAGCAACATCACAAATAGGCAAATCAAAAATGGTTGTATTCAAGTTAAGCGGCCCACAATGAGAGTCACTTTCCTTCCTACTGATGCCTCGATCTGGTGTAGCGCTTGCACTATGTCGTAGGGGTGCATCCTAGATCGCATGACCGTATGCAACATATAATAGAGGCTGCATAGACTCGTGGGACATAGGTGTAAGGCTGTGGAGTATGGGGTTGGGGTTAGGCCCAGTTGTACATGTTTTGAGACCGTAAAAAGTTCACAGCATAGGAGACGCGATATCGCCGGACGCTGACAACAAGGAGTAAAATAGGACTCACTACACCTGAAACCCCTGCGACACATTGCAAGAGCTACACCAGATCGAGGCATAAGTGGGAAGGGAAGTCACTCTCACTGTGGGCCGCTTATCGCATAATGTACCTAAAAACATATTTGATGGTAAAGTAGCTGTTCAATTGTAAATATCTTTTTCTTACCTTTATCAATTCATATTTATCATTGTATACTGCCAGGTGAACTTCCACATTCTTGGGAGCTCTTTTAGTTCCCTTCTCAAACTCGGCCCCGTGTAGAGTCAAATAAAGATCATTCCTGATCTCTCCTATGTAAATGAGACATAACTCTGTCAATACAGTCACTTATATTCGGTTATCTCCTCTATATGAATGTCTAATCATTCATGTGACTCAAAGAGTCGTATCTTGAATAAAAATATAGCAAGGCAAATTCCAGATACCCTGTTGAACAACCTCACAAGTTGTAATTATGGTGCTCATAATGTTTGCCTAAACCTAGAATAGATTCATATAAAACAAGTTTAGCGCACTCCGCTCCTCATTTCTGGAACCAACTTCCACTAGACCTGAAAAATTCAAAGAGTCCCTATTCATTTAATCGCAAACTTGTTCAGTTCATGCTTACAAGCTATACGCCACCTTGAATGTAAATAATAATCCATATTGCATTATCAATTAATTATTAAGCAAGGTGTATATGATAGGTATGTTTGCGCACACGCATGTGTGTGTGCCTGTAAATGTGACATGTATCTGTGTGATGTGTATGAATATGTAGGCGTGTTTGTAAATATATGATTCTGATTATGTCGTTTGTCTGCTTGTGTATCTGCGGGTGTGTGTATGTGTGTGCATCTGCAAATGTATGCGTCTGTGTGTCCACGTGTCTTTGTGTATGTGTCTGAATGTGTGAGCGCGCATATGTCCACGTGTATGTGTCAGTATGAATTTGTCAGTGTGTGTCTGTGTGTGTTTCTGTGTGTTTAAGTGTGCCTCTTTGTTGTGTATGTGTGTGCGTGTGTGTACGTGACCAGATATATGTGACTGTGTATATGTGTCTGCATGTGTGTGTGTCTCTGTGTTTGTGTTTGATTTGACTGTGTGTATGTCTGTGTGTGTCCCCGTAGATGTTTGTCTGCATGTTTGCCTGTGTATGTTTGTGTGTCTTTGTCTGCATGTGTGTCTATGTTGCTGTATGTATGTGTCTGTGTGTGGGTGTCTATGTCTGTGTCTCTGTGTGTATTGTGTGCGCATGTGTCTAGTGTATGTGTCAGTGTGTATTTGTCAATGGGTGTCTGTGTGTATGTCTCTGTGTGTATCTGTCTGCATGTCGGAGTATATGTCTGTGTGTGCTGTGTATATATGTCTGCGTGTGTTTGTCTGCATGTTTGTTTGGCTGAGTGTGAGTCTCTGTGTGCGTCTGTGTGTGTTTGCCTGTGTATGTGTTTCTGGGTTTTTGTCTGTGTGGGTGTCCATTTGTGTTTGTCTGCATCTTTGTATTTTTGTGTGTGTTTAACTGCTTGTGTGTCTATGTGGCTGTATGTATGTGTCTGTGTGTGGGTGTCTGCATGTTTGTCTGTGTGAGTGTATGAGTCTGCATATGTCTGTGTGCGTGTCACTGTGTATGTAGTGTGTGAGCATGTATGGATATATGTCTGCTGTGCGTCCTCGTGCGTGTTTATATGTATGTGTCAGTGTGTGTGTATGTCTGTATGTTTGTCTGCGTGAGTGTGTGTGTCTCTGTAGGTGTGTGTGTGTGTGAGTCTGTGCATGTGTCTGTGGGAGTGTCCGTGTGTGAATGTGTGTGTCTCCATGCATGCCTGCATGTATGTATGTATGCATGCATGTATGTGTAAGTTAGTGGGTGGGTGTGTGTATGTGTGCATGTATTTCACAACCCATGCTTTTGTGTTCCTTTATGATATTCATAATATGCATATCACCATATGATCATAACATGCTTTATTAGTAAAATACAACTGCTGTGCGAAAGATGGTTGACTTCAAGGGCCAAATGTAAAAGGGGCTTGCATGCCCAATTTGTGACCCCTTGAAAATAAAGTTTATTCATTCATTCGTTGTTCGTTCTCTCTCTCTGTGTGTAAGCGTGTGCATGTGAGTGTGCAAGCCTGCATGTGTTTTTTTACGTTCTTTCTCCAAACTGCTCATTAGTGACTCCAATAAAATTTATCAGTCAAAAAATTAGTCGACATAGCATATTCTCACCTGGATTGATGAAGTCTGAAAAACCGATCCGTTGAGTACAAGACCGCTCCTCGGCTAAACAGAATAGGGTTCTCAACTCTGACAGTTTGTAGGTCTCCATGCAAGATTTTTAACGACAGCATAATTTCTAAGAGATAAAAATATGTGAATATAAACATGATTTACAGACTGTATGTGGTATTTGTATTAGGATAATCAAAATAATGTACACATGTTCTCTGGTAAACTAAAAACGATTCACATATTTGCTCTTGTGTAAATTTTATTTTTTCAAATGCTGTCTTTTGATGTTATTTTAAAATGGGTTTTTTTTTTTCATACAGCACCCTTCACACTTGGCTAAGAGATCTGTATATTTGCAAGGTGGCTTTATAACTGCTTCGTGGTTGACACTCTGCTAAAGTTGCTAACCGTATAAGATAAAATTTAAGGTTTTTTAAGGATCTAACCACAATGTGGGAAAAACTGGCTCACCAGGCAATTTTTTAACGGGCTCATGAGGGTCTGAGAACCACGCAGGGTTGTTGAAGGTCTTACATCTGGACAATTGTTAGCAAGTGAGTAAAGTAGATGTTTATTTTTGCAATATGTCAGTGAAAGTAAGAAAGTGGCATTTTATCTTTGCAATACGCCAGTGAAGTGATAAAGTGAAAATTGTTTCTTTGCGAATGTCAGTGAAGTGTTTTTAAAGTAATTTTTACTTTGCAATATGTCAGTGAAGTAAAAAAAAAAGGGTTTTTTTCTTTTCAATATGTCAGGAAATGCATAAATGGATTTTTTTGAAAAAAAATTTTAAGAAAAAAACCCAGACTCACCCTGTTGTGTTTTCCGTTGTGATGTCCTGCCCCAAAATTGTCTTTTTTTATAGATTTTCGTTTAATGGCTGAAAAGGGTTTTCTTCTACAGAAAAACAGACATTTTCATTTTTTTGTTTACTAAAATGAAAGAAGTCAAAAATTTTTTATTTTCTTTTAATTACTTACTTAGTCGTTCCCTTTTATCTTGGGGTGAAGGTTTTCTTTAGAGATCACCCACTTCTTGTCAGCGTTTTTTTTTGGGTTTTTTCCATTCCAGTCCCCTGT